ACGGTAATTATTTTCTGCATTTATATATGTATACATCGCTTTGATATTTCACTGAACGCTTTTTTTCGCAAACAAAGAAACTTGCATTGCAGCATCCATTACTTGAAGCATTACCAGTTAACTATATTTGGAAATTAGAGCAGTTCATTTGAAAGGAATGCTATCGGACAATAAAAATTGAAAGCTTAAGGCACCCATCGATGCAGGTATCTAATTATCTGACAGGAATAAATGATACGAATGGCTTTATTGCCTTCAAAACGCCCAGCTTGGGAGCGATAGCCGACTATATACTGGCTGTAAAGATGCGTATTCAACGTACAGGTTCATTTTAATCTTCCTGGTGAGCGCCCAGAGTCAAGCCTCAAGAATTAAATATTGTTCAGCCTCTTCGAGACCATTATAGTAATAGTGCCTTAACAATCGTATACGCTTTCCACTGATTGTGTAATTCGTACGAATACACAACTACAAAACCTAAGCTCCGCCGTATAGGTTCTCACCGCGATCGCTGAAGAAAGTGTTAGCTCTTTCATTGTTGAAACACCATAGGAACCACGGATAACAAACAGACTTTTTCAAGGCTTCGCGATACTTTGTGAAAAAAAGTGAATTTCGGCTCTTCTGTTTAGGGGCGAAGCTTCTTATAGCGGCACTGGTTTGTCCCTCGTGGGCGTTGTAGTGTGTAACAAGTATAACATTTTGATCTCCAAGGTGATGCCGGTGACAGATTTCTTCTGTGCGATGTTGAACAATAAAAGATAGTGTTTAATTTACATGCCAATGGCTGCTAAGGGGGTATGAGAGACAGGAGCATTTGGCTTTCAGTTAACGAGCACGCTGCAATTCTCATTAGCAGCCATTGGCATGTACATTGAGCACTATCTGACAAGAAAGGGTTGCTACGTTATACTCGCTGGGTGTAACCTCCTTAGTTTCAGAAAGGTTCAGCGAGCGTTGGGCCGCAGTGCCTGTGTGTCCGTTCGTCCATCTATTCAACACTCCAAGTACCACCATCTCGCACCTTTTCATCATATGTGCCCCATATAGAAGCACCGCCATCCAACGGACATTCCAAGGACTAAACGAGAGGTGGCACACGCACACTTTCTTACGGCTTGCGCTTCGTATCTACTTTCCACCTTTAACCACCTCGAGATCATGGTATATACTAGTTCATCGTATTCATGGCACTGCGGCCCAACGCTCGCTAAACCTTTCTGAAACTAAGGAGGTTACGCCCAGCGAATATAACGTAGAAACCCTTTCTTGTCAAATAGTGGTCAATGTACATGTCAATGGTTGCTAAGGGGGAATGAGATACAGGAGAATATCGAGATAAGGGCGCTCGATCGCGCGCCCTTTTTTTGCAGTAAGGAGAATCGTAGCTCTTGGCTAGCCCGGGTTTCGTCGGAACGATTCTGTTGAAGTTATCGGGCGCACAAAGGTTGCTGCAATTGTTGCATAACCTCCATTTGCGAAAAGAGTGCGCTTTTCAGACACAGCGAAGTAACAACTAAAACGCTTATTCGCGGTAATCTGTACCTGTGCGTACGTTTTGTGCGTCCTTTGTGCGTGAGAAACGCGGGGCACGTTTTGATCTGCTTGCGATTCTGCTCGTGACCATCCAATTCGTTACTATCGCGTTCGTTGCTTCGCCTTTGCGGCAAAGCTGTGACTTTTTTGAAATTTATAATTAGGTACTGTAGTTTTTCTCAGTAAACTGTCTGTTTATCTATCTATCTATCTATCTATCTATCTATCTATCTATCTATCTATCTATCTATCCTAATTTTCGTATTGCATGCATCTCCCTACTTCGCTGTCGCTTCGAACGTAGCTGCGCACGCACAACAAAAAAAAAAAACAAAATAGAGGGGAAAGAAAACGGAACGTGCGCACAACAACGGGACCGTCGACGAATACAAAACAACACCCTGTCCGTTCTCCGTTTCGTCTCGCATACAAAAGAGCTGTTCGAGCAGCTGGCATAAAGTACAGCGCGCCTAGAAGCCGTGCGACACACGGTAGTGCGACAAGTTCAGACATGCCCGCGACCGTATGCGACACGCGTGTTATGCGCGCAGCTGACTGCAACTCACCGCTGTCAACACAACGGGACACTAGCTGTTCAGCGAGGGAATGCCAAAAAGAAAAAAAAAAGCACTACTTCGCGAGTCATCACTTTGCCTTGTAAATAAGCAGCTGGCGCACGTTTTTCAGCTCCTCGCAACTCTTAAAGCAAACGCAGGGGCCGTCTTTATTGCGCCGACAGGAGGAGTTAATGTGCCCACGCGTTGCCACTTACATGCTAATCGAGCGCTTTTACGCCTCCCACGTGGGTCATTTGCGTTCCACAAGACCGCGCTTAGAATTTCATTTTTGCATCGCTATCGCCGTTAAGAAAAACAAAACGACGTAATTTTGTTTTCACGGCGGGATAGGTAGAATTTAAAAACAAAAAAAGAAGTAAGGAGTCTTGAGCGTGACCTGTTGTCTAGAATACCATGATCGTATTGTATTCCAGCGCATAGGCTTATAAGTTTCCCCGCGCGGCATTCTGCAAACAGGGACGTTTCGAGGCTATACGACGCATAGCGTAAGGAAAGGCGGCGCGGAATGTGAATATTATGCGTTCAAAAGTAGGACGCTCCATGTGCCCTTTTTTTTACACAAATTGGCTGTCTCATATGCACATTGATCATAGTGGCATACATGTATGACATCTTACTGTTTTAGTCTTCCTTAAGTTAATAAAAAATATCTGTTTGTCTATTCGCTTATTAACTTGTGAAGCGCATATAATTCGCATAATCTTTTACACAACATATATTCTTCATCATCGTTCACCCTCAATGAAAAAAAAACAGGTATGCGATAACAATGCCAAAAATGTGCAAAATATATAAAGATTACGTTGATTTGATTGATATGTGGGGCTTGACGTCCCAAAACCACTGTATGATTATAAGAGAGGCCGTAGTGGAGGGCTCCGGAAGTTTCGACCACCTGGGGTTCTTTAACGTGCGCCTAAATCTGAGCACACGGGCCTACAACATTTCCGCCTCCATCGTCAATGCAGCCGCCGCAGCCGGGATTTGATCCCGCGACCTGCGGGTCAGCAGCCGAGTACCTTAGCCCCTAAACCCCAATGGGGGGATCATAAATATTACGTGAATAGAGGAAAAGTTCTTGACAAGGGTGTCACAACCAACGTTCTGACAAGTCTACGTGTCTTCGTCAAGGTAGAAACTGGCCAACACCAAATGAAGCAATAACAGTGGCAGAACCAGTAAGGGAACAGCGAATAAGGACTACGTCTTACAGCCAAAAAAGCATTCGTCAGCTGTCTGACTCTCTGGAGTGCACGTGGAAGTGCGTAAATATCCTGTAGCTAGCACAGCAGTGATAGGAGCGGTCGGGCCCGGGTTGATACTGTTTCCAAGTGCCACCAAAGAAAAGCACTAATTGCGATAACGAGTTATCGTCCGACAGCTCGAATAACATCGCTGCTGCTTTTTTTTTCTATAGTTCTCCCTCACACATAACGCGGCTGCCAAGTTTTCTGCTGGGACACCAACAGGGCAGCTGTACGACGGCTTTCGTTTACTTTTTCTGCGGCAGCGTTCTGAATGGGAACCTCACGCGAAATAAACACATACATAGCTAGTGAACGTGTCGGATCAACTCACGTTTGAAGCGAAACAGCCTCTCATTCAAGTGTAATTATATAGCACTAGCATGCCGTAACTGAGATTGGACACACGTAATTGTTTCGGGTGTTTTTAGGCAGCAGTGACACATACCACCTACATTTACGGTAGTACTATAGTGACTAAAGCTTATTAGCGTAACAGCCCTCCAGACTTCATTGAATCAATTAGGAAATAGTTCCTCTTTTGCAGACATTAGGGGGCATTCAAAAACGTGTTGCTCTATTTTTGGTTGGTGACAACTTTATTGGTGGTCCGGCAGAGATTTCGCCGACCGCGCCTCAGGTCTCTCACGCATATACCTTTATAGACCTAAATTATTTATTTGCACTTTTGTGCCTGCAAAAAAAATTACAAACAACTATCCATGCATATAACTTGTTCATTGGGGTTTTGTTGACCTCCAAACAACACTTGTGCTAATTGCACATGTAAGCCCAAGAAGCGGAGAGATGCGATAAGCGAACAACGAAGATGTGCTTAGATGACTCTGAAATTGTGCCGCGTTTTCTCAGAGGATGTGACTGACTGTGCATTTCTGCGCAGACACCAGTGGCAATCCACGGGGCACCAAAGTTGGACAACTTGCACTTTGTGAGTCGGGTCCTGCAGGCATGCTTTAATATTTTTCCGCTGGCTTGTGACAACACTCCGGCTCTCTTGGATTCAGTAACAAAGAGGACTAGGACCTTAGATATAAAAAAATCACGTAACAAGCGGCGTTCTGTTCCTTTGCCCATACTTTCGATTACCACTGTTATCATCGTCGCACAGATAGTTAAGTTGTGCCCGCTAAGCTAGCCTGCGCATACATACGTTGCTTATTGACCTCAGACACACACACAAAAATTGTGAACACACGTGCTTCACCACAATCGCGGCTTCAATAGATAGGTTTCAAGATGTTAAACACCTTTACAAACTATCGGCGCTAGTGAAACCAGGGACGACCAGAAGGAGCCAGCAAGCCACGTTGCACTCAGGAGACATTGGCACACCTCATGTAGAAAAGAAAATGGAGTCACGTGGACAGGGAGGGGGGCGAAGTTCTAGGAATCGTCAACGTCACTGCGTCAAACGTGCGGGAAAAAGCACCTTAAACAGTGCCGATTCAGCCACGGAGGTCAGTTCTCTCGCATCGCAGCGGGAGACAGCTCATCGCTTAAACCGCTGACCGCCCGCAAAGACGGCTCGCTTGAGTAAAAAAAACACACAAACAAAATTCGCACCGAAACGCCCAACATAAAAAAAAAGTGAAACAGAATATCTAAGGCAAGCGAAAGGACTCGCACGCGTGCCTATGCGCACTCGCGGAGTCTCGAAAAACACTTTCTCGCACCACGGAGCATCCGTACGGGACGTCCGGCAACGGAAGGTCCGACGTGGCGAACGTCGGCTGGCCTTGCTTAACGGGAGATAGCGAAGGCAGCGGTCACCCAAAAGGACCGGCACCGAGGCAACCTGAACGCGTACGTGGGAAAAACGAAGACGGAACGGCCGCAGAGCGGCTCGCCCCTAACCCGCCCGCAGCGGCGTCAGCGTGTCCCAGAAGGGGCAGACGATCGGAGTGTCCGGAAAAATACCGTTGACGATTAGTGCAAGCAGAAAGAGGTTTAGGGCGGGCGCCGATCACCCCGATGCTGTTCTCGTTTACAACTCGACGCCCCCGACATCAAGGTCAGTGCGAAGACGAGGCAACCGCAATCGCTCCTCTTTTATTTGGTCAACGGCAGGCAAGGAGTTCCGTTTCTCCTTCGTAGAGAAGAGGTTCAGTTTCTTTCGTTTTTTTTATTTTTTGCTTTACATATCCAATAATATTTGTCGAAGCGGTCGAACGGCTTTTGTGCTCCGTAATCGCAGAGTAGCTGTACCTTGTGTCGTAGACGCCAGGAAACCTTTGATCTCCAGTATCTGAGGGTGTTTCCCTCTCCATCGTCGTTTTACTTTCGATAACCTCTTTTCACCGAGACCGGCCCAAGCGGCTGCCACTGACTACTTCCATGGAGACGAGGTAAGAAAGACCGAAGAGAGGACGCAACGAATATCTTGCAAACAACGCCCGAAGACAGGGGCGCTTTTGCCGACGGGAACTGTGTGCGCGCGCGTGTTACATCACGTTGACAGAAGTGTGTCGCTGCAAGGTTGAACTTTTTTTTTTTTTGTCGCGCGCTTGCTGGAATTGTGATCCTTCGAAGGACGTGGACCCTGACCAACGTGCAACTTGTCGAAGACTGCAGGAAGACCCTGGAGAAATTGAGTTGAACTTGGATGCGACATTTCAATGAACGGCAGCGGAGAGACGACAATGAATAGCCGAAGGGGATTCATGTGATTACAAATTTGGAACGTCGGCCGTGAGGAAGGAAGTCACGTTCAAGATAACCTTTTTCTGAAGCTGGTGATAACAGCAGCCTTTTTACATCGTCGAGCTTTTTTTGTACTCGTACCGCAAGCCTCCGAAAACGCTGGAAGTCCGTTAAAGCAGGTAAGGAAGAAACGTATTTGTTTTTATTTTTTGCGTACAAGTGTGTTTTTGGCAGGAGCGGAATGAAGGGACATATCAAAAGGGATAAGCGTCTGTAATGGAAGTAGTTCGGCTCAAGAGCACTGAAGAGAAACAGTAAGTTATTTCATACTTATAGCTCTAGTACTTCTGATTTTGGCACCATAGTTTTCTTATTAGATGTATAAACAGTGTCCAAATTGTAATTATTACATTTCCCGCCGAAATCTACCATGATAACGCTATGGGCATCAACGCCCTTTTCAGTCACTTTAGCTGATCAAAATCATTTCAAAGTAAGTCTCTAGCTCTTTCAGAAATTATTGCACTCTTTTTTTTTTTTGCCAACGAGATACTACGTATGCTTTCGTGGATGCCGTCTAAATCTACGACGTAACGGCGCCTGGTACGAGAACGTCAGAATGACGTCACCAACAACATTTTTTTTTCTTTTTTTCTGACGTTTTCTGGCTTCCCAAGCGTCTTTCCCGCCGACGTCGTCGTGTCCTTGGCATCGCGAAAGAGCAGTATACTAATACGAGAAGAATCGTGTTTCGCTCTAGAGTCCCTTTAATTTAGGATTCGATTGAGAGAGATAAAGAGAACTCCTTACCGAAAGGCAGGGAATTCAGCCTGCATGTATGAATCACTGACTTGCTACTCTAGAGGGGGAAAGGCATGGCGGATTCTAAAGTACCGATAGGGAGAAAGAAAAAAATGCGATGTTAAGATGGAAGATAAAACAAAAAGTAAAAGAAAAAAGGTTCACTTATTTGAACATTGAATGAGGACTCTCGTTAATAGTTTTCCGTGGTGTCGAGCTTGAGTTTCTACAGCTGGCGCGACACTTATGCAATAGAAAACTGTCATGCATATCCCTGCTCGTGCTTGTCAGTCTCAGAGACAGTGTATGCACACATGTGCCCATCATGATGTTAGGTAAAAAAGATGAGAGCTCTGATGAAAACGATATTCAGCTGACGCTGCGTACGATTTAAACATTCTCGATTCCACCAGCGCCGCATGTTCTAACGATGCGCTGAGTGTTGTAGCACAGAGGAGGTCGGAATCAACGGTCGGATGCTAGCTCCTGATGCCGATGCGTGAGCACGTAGCTAATTTATTGCAATCACTCCCTTTTTCTGCGTACTGCGACAGACACCAGTTCAGCTGGTCTAATAGGTGCTTTTCGAGCACACTAGATGTGAAGCAGTGCATTTTTGCATCTTAGAATTCTGCTTAGAGGGATTACCCTACGGTATACCGGAGAAAGTTCTCGCGGGAAGACCACAGTTGTAGGCCCGTGTGCTCAGATTTGGGTGCACGTTAAAGAACCCCAGGTGGTCGAAATTTCCGGAGCCCTCCACTACGGCGTCTCTCATAATCATATGGTGGTTTTGGGACGTTAAACCCCACATATCAGACCACAGTTGAAAAAGTTGTAGATTATGAAAAACATATTCATGAACTAATAATGATTTTCACAGTCGTACGTCTTGTACGCTTTTGAACACAAGGCGCTGGCTTCACGGTAAAACTAAAGTTATTGTAGGCCAAGTAATCCGTCGGTTTAAGAATGAATTGAGAGCAAGGGGAAAAAAGGAGAAAAAATGTAGCACAGTTCATCAGGTCAAGGTGTGATCTGCCGCCAACGCTGTGGATACGACAAGATAAAATAAACGACATGAGAAGGAAAGCAGCACTGCAAATACGAAGGATGAACATCGGGGCAGAAATTAGACGCCAGAGGCCGGTAGTTTTCGCACGAGTATCTTGCAACACCATTGGTAGCTGTATCCAGAAAATGTTGTCTCAGGAAATGGCCTGTAGATTACAGGCTGTCCAGCGCTCTTTTGAAAGGTGAGCATTGCCGTTTGAACTGTTTGACCAGACGCATAGGTATATCGTATGGTCGTATCGGTCAATCGCAATAATACGACAGTGAGTTGTAAGAAATAGTGTGGCTATAAACGTGCCCCGTATTGTGTAACAAGGTATACTTGACAGCTAAGTGTAATTTACAGCAACACAAGACAGATGCCCCTTGTCTACATTCTCCTTTTCTTTTAACATTGTCCAGCGTAACACACATTCGTAACAGTCGCATTTAGTTGTAGGAGGTAGGGTGGTTTGCGTTCCTGCGGTATGGGCCGGCCAGCAAATGCAGCTTATTGTTTTAAACAGCCTGTAGGCTCTATCTTGTTCAAAGTGTATAGAGTGCAATTCTATTTCTTTTCTGTATACTGGAGAAGAGAGTGCATGTGTCTACACATACATTTACGTATCAATAGGCAAAGCTAAAAACAATGTGTGTTTCGACACGAAGATTTTCGTAAAGAATCTGCCTAATCCAGAGTGAAATGAACGAAATTTGAAAGAATTTTTTTTTCTCGTTTTTCAGGTCACACTTTCTTAACGAGCCTCGCACGGATATCTCAACGGGAACACCTCACCTTTGACACTTCCTCTGCGATCGAGAATCTCGTCTACGTGTTCTACGGTATAAAAAACAAAATCTACCTATTGGTTTAAACGCAGTGCTCTAACAACTTTTGAGCCGACGAGGGTCCCACCAAAGACTTGTTTTTTCCAATCAATCGATTAGGTTATCAATCCTCAACGTACCGTTTGACGTCCGATTTTCGGTCAGCCCAAGCAAAAGGTATATCCAACTTGGGAAGCCAGGGACTCCAAAATCGGCCACCACACACGTACACACACACACACTCCAAGTGTCAAATCAAAACTCGCAGAGAAAGTGCGCGCTACGGCCAAGGAACTCCGAGGAAAATCTCGCCAGTGAGACACCACGCACGCGAGCCAAGGACCAATCGTCGCAGCTATGTGGGCCACCACGCGAAGGTGAGTATGTGAAAGCTTGCTTCCTTTTCCTGCTATTTCTTCTACTTTATTACCTCTCTTCAACGTAAGGTCTATACTTGAGAAGCGTCTGGCTCGCCTTAAAGGAGCGCTAAATTTCCAGTCCACTTGGTGTCTTTTTGTGAACTCTTTTTTTATGGCAATGTTCCTAGCGTCACGCTTTCGTGACTCACTGCAAGATGGCGCGCCCCGTTTATCAGCGTAGGCTTCCGTTCAGAGTACGCAATCTCGTTTTTTTTGCATTAGTCTCTATGGGGTGCAAATCTACAGGGCCGTCTACTGTTAATGAGAACGCAAAGTTCACAGCACGTGAAAGAGTTTTTCCTTGCCCGGGATCGCCTAGTTACGAAATGAACGATTCGGTGCGCTGACACACTTGTGCGCATGCGTGTAGTGCACAGATATATCTTTACGTGGCGCCTATCTTTGACGAGCCCGAATTTTCGAAAACCACGCATTTATGTAGAGTGTTGCAACTGCCTATAGACTGTGTTGCATGCACGTGGTCAACCAACTTAAAGAAGAATATGCACTTTCCTCAGTCGTAGCGTTGCTTATCACTTCCAGTACTGATCTATGGTTTTTTAATGCATATAGAAAAAAAACGAGTCAAAACGGCGAAGCTGCAGTTTGGCAAAGTGCTTGCTCCGTGGCTTCGCAAAAACGGCCAAGTTAATCGCTCATATTAAACACCCGCCTTACCAATAAATTGTCTATCTTGATGCTAAAACACTAAAAACAATCAACCCACATTATATTTAAAAAAATGGAAGCAGTGTTACTTGAGAAAAAAATTGCCCGCAGCTTCCCTCGGGGGGAACACTGAGGAGGATGCGGACCATATAATTGGTTAACGGGGTGTTAAAGTGCGACTTACTTGGGTCGATGGCTAAATTGGTTAACGTGGTTGTGAAATGGGGTGTTAAATTGCGACTTACTTGGGTCGATGGCTAAATTGGTTAACGTGGTTGTAGGAGGGGGTGTTAAATGAGTGAACACGTACACACGTATGCGAAAGGGCGGCGCTGGTCGAAGGGACGTCGATCATTGTGTTTGTGGATTCGTTGGAATTCATTTCACCGCGACCTTGGACGTCGACACGCCGTACAAACCAACCGACGAGCGGCAACTGAGCGAGCGAGCGCCGACCTTGAGTATATATACAGCACGACGGCGGATGCACTGTCAGCTGTTGAATGTTCTCGAAGCGCGACGCCACATGCGCGTCCACTGGAGAATCAGGAGAATTGTAGATGTCGAACGCGGTGTGTGGAGGAGGAAGGGTGCACAGATGGCGGAGGAGTGAAGCGCGCGCGGTGTGTAGAGGAGGAAGGGATGCACAGATGGTGGAAGAGTGGGCGACGGCGCGACGGCGCATGCGCGCGCGTCAGCTGTCGAATGTTCGAGAAGCGGTGCGGACGGCGCACTACAAGGCGCGAGTATAAGATGCTCCGCATCTAAAAGCAACATTGAGCAAACGTAGGTAAAGAGGAAACTGCTTCAACACTCAAACTAAATACCATGAGGGCTGTTGTCGAGTTGGTAAGCGATAGATGTGATTTAATAACTCATTATTCATTTTAAATCATTACAACACGTACCAAGGTTATTTGGTCGCCTTCCACTTCATGTTGCCGAAAACGAGGTTGCATATTCGGTTACGGGCCTCTACGGCTGACGTTTGGTACCTGATTTATTTAAAGGGACACTTAAGTGAAACAATGACTTAAAAGAAACTGATAAACTGCACATTGCGAACTTTAACTCACAATTTTCACTATCATAAGTTCATTGTCAACAGAGCGAATCAAAGTTTAATTTACACAAAGTATCGCACCAGAACCTTCGTGCATGACGTCACTATTTCAAAACGTATTCTGTTCGTATTTCGGCGAGGCTAGACTACATCTTCTGAAACTCGGTGTCTTGGGTCTATGGCACCCGTAGATAACAATGCGTTTACTTTTTATTGATTAGAAATCATAGAAATCTCAATAGACGCCGTCAAAACCTACGACGCCACGGTGCGGAAATCTCATGGTACACCGTCTCCACTCACATTTCTCTTTCAGGTGCTGTCTCGTTTACTGAGCGTCGTCTCGTGCTAAGAGGGGTATTTTAGAGACTGTGGAACTGTGCTTTACAAATACGCAAAAAGTTTGTTCATCTTCTTAGTGTCCCTTCAAGGAGCCCACGTGTAGATATAATTTACCCAATTACGGTTGCTGTGGTTCTACACTTTATATTTACAGTCGTCTGTGATGCAGGACGACAGTATTGCCATGCCACCGATGGTCGTGAAAGATTGATTTGTGGGGTTTAACGTCCCAAAATCACCATAAGATTATGAGAGACGCCGTAGTGGAGGGCTCCGGAAATTTCGACCACCTGGGGTTCTTTAACGTGCACCCAAATCTGGATGGTCGTGAAAGAACACTCTGAGATTGGCTATACTTCACTTCGCGACGGCTCATGCGTTTTTTTTAGGCCCTCGAAACACCTGCTACGACCTTTTGTTTGAATCAATGGCGTGGCCAGTCATTGAAAAGAGGGTGGTCGTTTATGCGAGAGAGCTGCGACTTATCATATGCCCGCTATCCTGAAACCACGAAGGATGCGCGCAATCTGAGTCGTTCGTCATCGAACTGCAACGACGATAACCGAACCTGACCACGCGCACTGTGTGCAGGAAACGAGCAGCCTCGTGGTTACGTCAGCCCACAACTTCCCGTTACGAGGCATGGCCTCTGAAATTTCGCACCAGCGCGCCAGCACGCCATCTCCGAGGCCATAAACAAGAAAGCAACTAAATTTGTATCGATGCACGTCGAAGCAGGATTTGAGTGATACAATGGCATAACCACTGAAATACGTGTGCGCATTGTTTCTCTATCGTCTGAAATGCGGTACCAAAGTGCCTAATTGGGCTGGTTGGTACATGATCAACGAAGCGAGAAAGAACAGCGCGTAAGACAGGACAAACAGACGAAGCGCTGTCCGTCTCTTCACTGTCCTGTCTTACGCGCTATTTTTTTGCGCTTCGTCGATATGCGTCGCTGATCTATATTTCTTTCTCAAGTATAAACAGACGGCAGATATTTTCCCACCCTTCACAGCAGCTATGGTCAAGGTTTTCCGGCTGTCATGGATGGGAAAATATTGTCACCAAGATCTGGTACGTGCTCAATACACGTCCAAGCACAAAATAAAATGTTTAACAAGAGAAGCTGAAATGTGTGGTCCGTAATTGGCATTTGCCGCCCGTATGTTCCCTTAGACTTTGGCGGACTGGTATGGTATTGTGTGGTATAGTATTGTATATTATATTTATTATAAAGGGCCTCTTGAATCAATACGACATGGTACATGTCAATAAAAAAACAATCGTACTTAAGCCCTCCTTCAAAGAATTTCAAACCTTGCTATCGTTAAAAGGACACTAAATAATATTTCGATGTTGCTAAGCTCGAAGGTCCAAGACCAAAAATGGGCTATTCAGTGGGCTAGGGAGGCTGTACGGAGAAGAGGTATCCGAGTACCTCCCTGTGCGCTCTAGCCCGGACCACAAACATGTCGGAATCGTAAATAAAGTTTGTACATTCCTTTGTTCAGTCATTCATAATGATTAGCGAAATTGTGGTCCAGCAACTTCGTAGTGCTACTTTTGTGCTAAGGAAGTGCTTATGTTGAAAAAAATCACGTTTTAGTGGCCCGCTCCGCGTTAGCACACGTAAAATTACCCGCCTCAGGTGAAAAAATTTTACGTGACTATTGCCGTGCACAGTGTTACCCGGCTTTACTGCGTGGCCACCGACACTAGTAGCAGAAGGGTGAAAGTAGCGGGAGCCACAGCAGCAACAACGACGATCGAGCAATTTCATGCAATTGCCTCCGAGATAGCAGGTGTGCTTGGTTTAACTAGGTCCCGCTAGATGGCACGACCTGTCTAGTTTAACCAGGCGAATATTGAGCTTTTTAACCACTCGCACCATTCCGCGTAGTAACGTCTGGTGGTTCTTTTAGGGACGAAGCTTCTTAAGGTGTGGGTCTGTCCATCTTTCATTGGTGTGTGTAGCCACCGGTGTGCACATACCTTAAAGAGCAGTCCTTAGAATGTCCGCTGGATGACGGCACTTGCATATGATGAATACATGATGAAAAAAAATGTTAGATGGATATACTTCGAGTGTTCACTAGATAGACGGACGGGCGGATGGACATACAGATAGACGGACGGACGGACGGACGGACAGACAGACAGACAGACAGACATACAGATAGACGGACGGACGGACGGACGGACAGACAGACAGACAGACAGACAGACAGACAGACAGACAGACAGACAGACAGACAGACAGACAGACAGACAGACTGAAGGACAGCCGCAGGAACAGACGAATGAACGGACGGATGGACAGACGGAAAAATGGACGTACGGGTGGACGCACTGACGATCCCACGGACGAACGGACACACGGACGGATGCATGGATGGATCTATGGACGGAAGCAAAAACGAATGGGTTGACTAAAGCACGGACGGACTGACGAACGCTTTGCCCCACCAATCATCATTCACTCCATGGAGGTGCTGTGATTTTTTTATATGAAACAAACAGAAACAAACAAGCAGCGTTTCATTACATCCCTTGATGCACGGAAGCTTCTTTATTTAGAGCAGCTAGTTTTATTACTGCTGAATAACTGTAGGCAGTAACTGACATCATTAGAGTCATTCTGCGAATGTCCTACTCGTGACGCATGCGTTCTTGTGCATTTACTTTCATTTTTGGTAAGTAGGGCACTGCTGTTGATAATATTGTCGTTTTAGACGTTGTCATATATTGAGCCTTTCCTCTGACATAAATCGGCATTTGACTTCAGTGTCCCTTAAGTGGTGTTTCTTCCGACGACCGTGGTTTACTGAAATGTCTACACCCATCTCCCTCTCAAGTGCTTCATTGTTTTCTTTACAGCAAA